CATCCCCTCTGGGGGGGGGGGGGGGTGAGTTCTCACTTTCTGTCTCTATGTCTCTCTCTGTCTGTCTGGCGAGTGCACGCGCCCTATAGCAAAAATCTCTCCAAAAAAAAAAAAAAAAGTCAGGGGTGCCTAATGAGTTCTCATCAAAACTCCCACCAGATGGCCCTTGTTTGATGAGAATGAACAGGAGCCTTGTTGTGGTGGAAGACTGCAAAGAAGTTGGGAGTTTTCCAGGGTGTTTTTCTGCAGAAAGATTTGGCTTTCTCAAAGCACTCTCCCAGTAAGCCGATGTTACTATTCTTTCTGAAGTCAGAAAGTCAACAAGCAACATGACTTGAGCATTCTAAAAAAATTTGTTGCCATAACCTTTGCCCTTAACTGGTCCACTTCTGTTTTGACTAGACAACTTCTACTTCTTGGTAGCTGTATTTCCTCAATAAGCAGAAGCCTCCCATATGGATTGTAAGTGGTTTACTGGGCCTAAAATATTATACAAAAGGAGTCTGACAGCCATGTGCTACTAGAATCACTCTCATATTCCATTCCTGGAAGAGGGAAGGACTACTTTGGGAACTTTGTTTCAGTCATAGTTACCTACCAAAGGGCCATGACCTCTTTGAACCAATCAGGACTGAACAAGATTGTAACTTTCATTTGCATAAGCAGATCAGAGTATGAACCTGGATGGAACCTTTCTGATAAAAGATGACCCTTCTGGCCACAGGTGGCATGGTTGTCAAGGTGCTGGATCCCACATGGCCAGCTCTTCAGTGCAAGTCTCAGACCCAGTGACCTGAAAAACATGCTGAGCACATGAGTATGCATGCCCAGAATTCCAAGAGGAGAATGGAGGAGGAGGAGGAGGGAAACATGCCCATCACTCCTAGGAAGTAATTTCTCACTTTTCCTCTCTCTCTCTCTCTGGGTAATGCACATGCCCTACAGCAAAAATCTTAAAAAAAAAAAAAAAAAAAAAAAAAAAAAAGGAGATAACCGTTCCTATGTTCCTTCAGAACATGTTTTTGGTTTGAGTCTCAGGCTATCTGTCCTTTGTAAACTGTTACCCAAATAAAGTCTCCTTTACTCTCCAAATTCATTTTCAGGGAATTACCTTGTTAACATAATCATTGCTGGTAAAGCCATCAAAGAAATGCTTCAGGATCTTGATCCCACTTTAAAATTTCCATTGAAAGCTCTGCTCTTGTTAGCAGCTGATCTGGGTACAAGAGTTTTGATACCCATTAAGCAGAAAATTTGTTCAACTTAAATTTTTCAGTCAGAATTGTATAAACTGAACCAGTTGAGATGTTTGTAGTGTTGGCTACTGTTTTCTGCTGCTAATTGTTGGGCCTCATCAGTTAAAGCATGAAAAAATTTAATTGTTTTCTTCTCAAATTGATATAGATGATCTATTGCTAAAGGTGTCATCTTCTTGTCCCTTTGTTTTTCTTTTTTAAATCTGACAGAGGGCATGTGTGCTCACAGGGGAGTGCTGGGGGCAAGAAAGCACTCTCCCTCATTCCCAGTGAGAAATGGTCACACTACAATGCCGTCTTCTCCATCTCACCCTCCTTTTAGGATTTCTGACATGCACACACACCCAGGCGGTTTTTAAGCCATTCGGTGCAGGATTTGAATCAGGCAGTCAACCATGTGGGATCTGGCTACCGTAACTACTATACCACAGGTGGGCCCCAGACTTTACTAAGAATAAAGCATGTTACATGCATGTGCTAGAATGTTGTATGCACTTTTGCATCTACTGTTTTTAATATCATTCCTTCGTTCCTCAAATAAATTGCTTATATATATTTTAAAAGGATTACCTATTCAACTTTTATGTATTGTTATTATTTTTTAATTTGACCAGAGAGAGAGGAAGTGAGAAAAAAAGCCACAGGTCTAGGACTTGAACCATGGTCAGCCATGTGGGAGTCTAGCACCTTAACCACCACGCCACTTGCCAGCCCTAATTGCTTATATCTTAAATATTTATTAAATACATTATACACACACACACATCTATATGGCAGTATTTAATTTATATACTAAACTGTAGTAAATGGCACCACCAACTAACCAAATCTTTGTCCAGAATCTTGAGAATCATCCTAAATCTGACCTTTGTTTTTTTTTTTTAATTATTTAATTTTATTTATTCACTTATTTGTTTTTATTTGACCAGAGAGAAGAAAAAGAAGAAAACAAGCCACCAGATCGGGAACTCAAACCATGGTCAGCCATGTGGGAGTGTCCAGCACCTTAACCACCATGCCACCTGCTGTCCCCATCTGACCCTCTTCATCACTACCCACATCCAATCAATCACTATTGCCTGTGAATTCTACTTTCAAAATATGTTTCTCATGTGTTTACTTATCTCCATCTCCATGTCACCACCACCAACAGTCACATGGACTACTGCAGGTCCTCTCCTTACCCCTGCAAGGCCCTGGCTGCAGTCAAAGGAATGTTACTAAAGATTGTTACATCCTGGTACATCTTTCCTTAAAAACCTTCAATAACTTTCTATTGCTTTTATGATATTCATATTTTGAACACTGTCAACAAAATCCTGCAAGATCTACCTTACTATTATCATCTCAAGATATTTTCACCGCTACTTACTTGATTTTGGCATGCCACCTGTATCTCATTTTTTTGGAAAGGTTTTCACTGTAGGGCACGTGCGCTCGCCAGACAGACAGAGAGAGACAGAGAGACAGAAAGCGAGAAATCACCCCCCAGGGGGGATGGTCATGCCGCAATCCCTTCTCTTCCATTCTCCTCTCAGGATCTTGGGCACGCATGCACACGCGCCTGACGTGAGTTTTAAGCCACTGGGTCCGGGACGCGAACCGCAGTCGACTACGCGGGAGTCCAGCGACATCCCATTATGCTAATTGCTGGTTCCCATCTCTTTTTTGAGAAAGAGATTTTTATTATAGGGCATATGTGCTCACTGAAGAGAGAGAGACAGAAAGCGAGAAATCACACACACACACCCCATGGAGGTTGGCCATGCCACCATCCCTTCTATTCCATTCTCCTCTTGGGATTATGGGCACACACACACATGTGCTGTCTTGAGTTTCAAGCTGCTGGGTCCAAGACTCTAACCAAAGTCGACCATGTGGGAGTCCAGTGCCTTAACCACTAAGGCGGCTTCCTCCTACTTCTTATCTTTTTGTAATTGCCAGAGGCACACGCATTAGCCAGAGAGGAAGAAAGATAAAGCCTCCCCAGGGACCAGCAGTTGGCATAATGGCTATGTCGCTGGATTCCCAGGTACTCGACCGCGGTTCGAGTCCTGGACCCAGTGCCTTAAACTCACACTGGGCACGTGTGCGTGCGTGAGTGCCCAAGATCCTAAGCAGAGAATGGAGGAGAAGGGATTGCAGCATGGCCATCCCCCTGGGGAGTGATTTCTCGCTTTCTTTCTCTGTGTCATTCTGGTGAGCACACGTGCCCTATAGCAAAAAACTCTCATAAATAAGAAGAGAAAGGAAAAAGCCTCCCAATGGGATATGGTCACAGGGCAGTCCCTCCTCCATTTCACCATCTTATCAGGATTTAGCGTATGTACATGCGCATATCCAGTATGTCTCCAAAGCTACTGGAGCCAGGTTCAAACCACTGTCCGCCTATGTGAGATCTGGTTTGCTTAACCACCAGGCTGAGGCCAGCCTATCCTAGCTTTATCTTTTCTTTCTTTTCCTTCCAGTCTTAGATTCAAATAAAATTTCACCGAAACAGCCATCCCTAGCATCCTACACTAAGTTAGAACCACAAGTATGTCTTCATAAATATTCTGCATTTTTTTCATTATAGCACTTACCTCAGTTGTAACTGTTCTGGTAGTTGTGTACTAATTTGTTTCATGGCTGTTCACCATAAGACTAAGACCCCTCTCTTATTCCTTTCTCACTGTAAAACTGAACTGTACTTCTTTTTCCAACTGTGATATAGTACAGATTTTCTCTAGATTTACATATGTTTTAATTCTCACCATTTTAGTACAGCATGTTTAAAAAGCTGGCCCAGCCTCTGTGCACAGCTGTTAAAATAGACCATCAAGGGACCAGCAGATGGCATAATGATTACATCACTGGGCTCCCATGTAGTCGACTGCTATTCAAGCCCTGGGCCCAGTGGCTTAAAACTCACGCCAGGCACATATGCGTGCATGCCCAAGATCCCAAGAGGAGACTGAAGGAGAAGGGATTGTGGTGTGATCTCTTGCTTTCTGTCCCTCTGTCTCTCTGTGTCTCTGGTTAGCACACACACCCTATAGCAAAAATCTCTCTCTAAAAAAAAAGAAAAAAAAATAGAACATGGAACTTGAAGCCACATGCCAACCATACTTCCCATCAGTACTCAGCCTGAAAACATGTTGGGTACTTGTGTGTGTTTCCAGAATCCTGGGGAACAAGAGGAAGGAATGCCATGTAGAAGATATTTCTCTCTCTCCCTCTCTCTCTCTCTCTTTCTCTTGTGTGTGCACATGCTCCATCATAAATTAAGGGGAAAAATCTCTTTAAGCATACTCTTTTTTTTTTTTTTTGAGAGGTTTTTGCTATAGGGCGCGTGCGCTCGCCAGACAGACAGAGAGAGACATAGAGACAGAAAGCGAGAAATCACCCCCCAGGGGGGATGGTCACGCCGTAATCCCTTCTCCTCCATTCTCCTCTCGGGATCTTGGGCACGCACGCACACGCACCTGGTGTGAGTTTTAAGCCACCGGGTCCGGGACGTGAACCGCGGTCGACTATGTGGGAGTCCAGCGACATAGCCATTACGCTAACTGCTGGTTCCCTTAAGCATACTCTTGACAAATCTGCTCCATACGGGTATATGCTATTTAATAGGTAGTCTTCATTGCCATCGAAATAGCAGGATTCCTGAAAAAGAATGTTGGATAGCACTAAGTTTAACTACTTTTTCCAGAATTTTATATTGAGAGTGATTTTATGATCAAGAATGATGTGCTTATTTTTTAGGATAAGAAGAATACTTCGGATTCAGACATGGAAATAAAACCTGAACAGCCACCTCCTTGTGTGAACCCCGGCAATCCAGTGTTTTCATGTATGTTGGACCCAAAGACACTCCACACAGCTACCTCACTATCAAAACCTCAGATGATTATGTACAAAACCAATTCAAGTCAATATGGAGAATTTTTACCTATGCCACAGTTTTTTCCCTGCAATTATACTCCAAAGGAGCAAATATTTACAAGCCATATCAGAGCAACTGGATTTTATCAAAATAACACTCTAAATACTGCATCTGACAGAACCAGAACCCTCGATTTTCCTAATTTTCAACATACTCTATGAGAAAACATTCTTTTGTATATTTAAAAGAAAATGTACTCAGAAAATGACGTTTAAATGTAAGGCTAGAATACCTAATTTAGAATATAAAAATATTTGAATCAATTAAAGAAATATCTTTAAGAAATAAAGCATGTGAACTGGTAACTAAAAGACAGCAACTTTCTTTTAAAATAATTATTTTGGGACCAGCAGTTAGCGTAATGGCTATGTTGCTGGACTCCCATGTAGTCGACCACGGTTTGAGTCCTAGATCCGGTAGCTTAAACTCAAGATGGGCGCATGTGCGTGTGTGCCCAAGATCCCGAGAGAATGGAAGAGAAGGGATTGCGGTATGGCCATCCTCCCTGGGGGGTGATTTCTCGCTTTCTGTCGTTCTGTCTCTCTCTTTCTGGCAAGTGCATGCACCCTATAGCAAAAACTCCCCCCCCCAAAAAAAAATTTTTTTTAATTTTATTTGTTATTATTTTGTTTTAACTTGACCAGAGAAAGACAGAGAAAGAAAGCAAAAGTGAGAAAGCAAGCCACCAGGCCCAGGACTCTAACCATGGTCAGCCATGTGGGAGTCCAACACCTTAACCACTGAGCCACATGCTAGCCCCAGTGACTTTTTCTTTTGGGGGGAGACCATCAAGGGACCAGCAGATGGCATAATGATTACATCACTGGACTCCCATGTAGTCAACTGCTATTCGAGTCCTGGGCCTGGCGGCTTAAAACTCACACCAAATGCAGATGCGTGTATGCCCAAAATCCCAAGAGGAGACTGAAGGAGAAGGGATTGTAGCGTGACCATCCACGCTGGGGGTGATCTCTTGCTTTCTGTCTCTCTGTCTCTCTCTGTGTCTCTGGTTAACACACAGACCCTATAGCAAAAATCGTGTGTGTGTTTGTGTGTGCGTGCATGCATGCCCAAAATCCAGAGAGGAGAATGAAGGAAAAGGGATTGCAGCAGGCTCAACCTCCCTGCAGAATGATTTCTCACTTTCTGTCTCTCCATCTCTCTTTGTCTCTCTGGTGAACGCACACACCCTATAGCAAGATCTTTTCTATAGGGCACCTGTACTCGCCGAAGAGAGAGAGTTAAAAAAAAAAAAAAAAAACAGATTTTTGCTACAGTACATCTGTACTTGCTAAAGAGAGAGAAAATGTGAGAAATCAACCCCCAGAGGGGATGGTCATGCCACAATCTCTTCTCCATTCTCCTCTCAGGATTTTGGGCACTCATGCACACGCTCCCTGTGAGTCTGGGATTTACACAAGCTGCTGAGTCCGGGACTTGAACCGCAGTTGGCCATGTGGGACTCCAGTGCCTTAATCACTCCACCACCTGCTAGCCCGACAGTAACTTCTTAAATAAAAATACATTTAAGATAGCAGAATACGGGGCTAGCAGATGGTGTGGTAATTAAGAGTGCTGGACTCCCACATGCCCAAGTGTAGTTCGAATCCCAGACTGGCAGCTTGCTTTCTCACTCTCTCTCTCTCTCTCTCTCTCTCCCTCTTTGGTCAAATTAAAATAAATAAATAGGTAGATAGATAGATAGTTAAATTAAAAATAATTCTTAAAAAAAAAAAACAAACAG